AAGTAAAAAAAAAATATGTGACTCCTACCGGGATCCAACCGCGTTCAGCGCAAAGCTAGAGTTTCGAAGCGACGACGAAAGTAGAAAGAAACAGTTGGATGAATAAGGAAGGGAGACTGAGAGTCGACGTTATCAAATGTAAGGACACGGGTTGCTAAGCGCGATTTCGACTTCAGTGAAATGGCAACAGTGTAGAGAGACGCCATTGTGAGAACGGCAATATCACAATTGTATCGAATTTACGTTAAAAGTCGTCTTCAGTAAGAGCCATCTCCTATCGATTGTCTGAACTAAATTTGTGACGTTACTTACTCTGTATTATCGTCAAAATGGCGAAACTTCGTTTCTGGGAATGCAATTCTTGGTCCATAGATTTTGTCCTTATATGAGCATATTTTGGGCTCAATGAGGGCTCATTCGAAAGAGGAAGGTCCAACGAATGTCGCTCTGGTCGTCGTTTGAGTCACAAAATCCCTTTAGTAACCTAAAAATACAACTGTTCTACCGATGTATTTTGCTCGATTTTAGACGCTCATATTATTAAATATCGACACAATCTCGTTCAACCACGACCAAAGCGATATTCCTTGGACCTTCCTCTTTCTAATGAGCTCTCATTGAACCCAGAATATGCTCATACAAGGTGTGACGGACCTTGCGTGGGCGGCCGGGAAAGCCGCTAATCGACAAGCTTGGTCGCACAATTTCCACGGACGAATTTGTTTATAAAAATTGGGCCCCAGTGCCAAGTGCACACGTCCGTTACTTTCGTCCTTCCGGCTGCTCTAGAGGAGAGCGAAACTCAGGGAAGGTCGAAAGAGGAAATAAACTTTGATCCGCGTACGTTTAAGTGGATTTCTTTATTTAACCCCTTCTTTACGGCAGTACGCGCTGCTGGAGTGACACCACTGAACGGAGCATCGCGCCGCGAAGTGTGCCGCACCCATACACATAGGACGTCGCGCGGCAGCCGACTATAGTCGGCATCCGTAACGAAAGGGTTAATCGAACCTATGCGGAGAATTCCGCGGTACACACACCGTTGAGGAAAGGATGTGACGACTACGCGCCGAAGGGGATACGCGGCGCGGAATTCCCGAAACAACTCTACGTTACGAAAACGGAGGAAAAACCGGCGCGACTTATTCTATAGGGGGCTTCGCAAACAATGGATCCGCTCTAGAATTAAATACAACCGAAAAAAAGATGACGCCGCCAATTAACGGACTCGCGTTTCGAAGGGTCCCTTTCCGTCGAAACGCGGGGCGTCCTCAAACCGCGCAAGGTCACGCGGGAGATTCGCGAAACGAACGGAGAGAACTCTAACGGATTTCGCCTCCAGTGGTGGTCTTGTCGCGGACGAAAAGGGTGCTCCGGAGCACGCTCGCGGACACACGCTCGATCCGCGCTCTCACACACACGCACGCCTCAAAGAACACCCAACCAGTGGGTCCTACCTGACTTTTGACCCTCAGGTCCTGTATCGTCCTCTGGGGGTCCTCTACGGTGGACAGCCTGGAGGCACCACACCCGTGAAAAAAGCACAACAAGAACTCGAACTGGGCTGGGCTAGACTACGTATAGGCGCTTACTCGCACATGCGCTCCTTTCGCGACTCACTCGTTATTTATTCCTCGATTCCCAAAATCGCGCTCTTCTCGTCGCCGGCTCGCGGTTCTCCCCACCCAGAAACTTTAAGGGGCTCCTTACAGTGTGCCATCACCATAGCATCTCCAGCAGCGTCGATGTCTTCTGCCGTTGCAGCTCCGGGGCGATGGCGGGGGTTGACCATCTTCAGAGGGTGACAAGTCCTTTTGGTGGTGGCCACAACGGGGTCTTTGGGTGGAGGACACCGCGACCGGCGACTTGCCGCTCTCGCGACGACGCGGCGCCTGCTCGCGGCGGGGGAGAGTGACAACGGGGCTCGAGAAAGAGAAGTCCCTATCCTGGCCGCGGTCACGCATCCTTCCATTCTCGACCACCTCCGCGGGCGTATGTGGCGGGGAGGAAGCGAGGCCCTTCTGGGGTCAGGGTGCTTTCGTGACGGGCAGAAAAAGTCTGCCCCGTCACAAAGGACAAAATCTGTGGGCAAACAAACCCATATCTCGGGTCAGATTTTGTAGGTTTACAGCGCGCTACATTACCCGTGTCTATCCCCTTAAGGTGGAAGACACAGGTAATGCAGCGAAGTGACATTACCGGCAAAAATGCGCCTAAAAAGGGGTTCAGAATTTCTCGCTTTTCGTCCTTGTATTAGTGTATTTTGGGCTCAATAAAGGCTCATTCGAAAGAAGAAGGTCCAAGGAAGGCTGCTCTGATCATGATTGGACGAGAGTGTGTTGATATTTTATAACAAGAGCGTCCAAAGTCGAACAACAGTTGAGCAGAACGCACCCGCAGAATGAATGTATTTTTAGGTTGCTAAATGAATTTTGTGACTCAAATGATGACCGGAGCACCTTTCGTCGGGCCTTCCTCTTTCCAATGAGCCGTTTTTTACGTGAGGAAATGCGTTTACGGACGCCCCCTCATAAGGAGGGAGTAGTGTGGGACTCGCCCCTTGATTTGATATCAAAGGGAATACCCACTATAACTCCACGATGGCCGGCCTCTGCGCATTGGAGAGGGGCACCGGGATCTCTTTTGAACGCTACCGGTGCCCCCCCTGCGCCTCCTCCCTTGCAATGGAGGAGTTCCATCTCCGGTGGGGAGCGACATCCCCCCTCCCCCACCTGGCTGCCCGCCACGACAGAGGCAGTCCGTGAAACATAACTACTTCCGTCTTCCTCGGCGAGATCTCCAGTCCCACTGCCCGGATCCTGGCGACGACGATGGCCACCGCCATTTCCGCCAAACGAATGATCCCCGTCCCGATGGGAAGAGGGCGTCAACGACTCCCCTGAGCACCTGGGGGTCGAGGGACTCCGTTACCGAGGGTGCGGCCGGGCGCATGCGCCCCAACACGGCGCAGTACGGCCGTTCCCATGGGTCTTGGTCCAGAGTTCCAAGAAGCTCTCTCCAGGCTCGCACGCCGCCGCCATCGCCTCTCGGAACCGTTCTGCCTCCCGATCGACGTCCGCGATCAGTCCCGGCCGATTCGTCCAGCCAGGACACCGCGAGGGCTGCCGCCATCAGCGCGTTCTCATCCATGCGTTTCAGCGCCCATCGACGCGGTAGTCGGTGCGTCGGCTGACGTAGCGCGAGGTGATTCTGCGGAGTGGCGGAAACATCGAAAACGATGTAGCGGTGGTCGCTATGTAATTCCACTTCTTCCGCCACCCTCCACCCGGACACAAGGCGCGCGGCGGCAGGCGTCGCCCACGACAAGTCGACAATCGACTCGCCCTGCCACCGCACGCACGTGCTTACCGACCCCCGGTTTAAGAGCCGGAAGTTCGCGCCCGCCGCCCACTCCAGCACGGCCTCCCCTCTCGCATCGGTCCTGGGGCTGCCCCAGAGGGTGGATTTCGCGTTAAAATCCCCCAGGACCAGTGCTGGGCGGGTTGGATTTACGGAACAAAAGTTCCCGCATCCTGTCCAGCAACCTCTCGAAGGACGCAAGGGAAAGGCTTGGCGGAGCGTATACGCCGATCACCGCCAAGCGACGAAGAACGCAGCGACGAATCCGCGCCCCCGCGAAACTACGCTCAGGGGCACGGTTCCGTCGCTCACGATCGCCACGGAGTCCAGTGCGTCCGCCGCCCAATCAGGGCGGTCACAGACACGGTACGGCTCCGCGGCGACGGCCAATTCCACGCACAACTCGGCCAGGCTGTGGACGAACAGGTCCTGTGCCGGCGGGACCGCGGATGACCGCGCGGACGGCGGAGCACGCGCCCCCCGAGCCGGGGCGACCGCCTCGGGCCCCTGTGCCAGTCGGGTCTCGAGCTCGGCGACGCGGCTGCGGAGCTCCGAGACGGTCCGCTCGAGCTGCTCTTCCCACCCTGAAACGGTCGTGCGCTTTGCCTGCTCGACTGCGGCGGACTTTATAGTCGACGCCGCAAGCTAGCGCACCAGCGGCCCTTTCAGGTTATTTAAACACTGGGCAACCTTGTGGATCGCATCCAGTGACTCAAATATTTTCGCCCCCAGTTCGGCCGTGGGCGTGTGGCACATTTCTGCCGCCAGCTCCATCTCCTCCCTGGGAGGCTTACCGGACCTCGGCCTCGAAGTCCTGGTTGAGGGTGGGGCCATTAAAGGGCCTCCCGCGTCAGGCTCCGGCCGAAGCCCGGCCTCCCGAACCTGAAGCTTCAAGAGTCGTCGCTTTGCCTCGGCGAGGGCGAAAGAGTGACTCGTTGTAGGCAGGCGGGCCCTCTTCCGTGCACTGGAGGAGGACCGGCGGGACGAAGCCGAAACGACGGTGCCTGTCGAGGCGTCCGAGTCGGTACCGTCGGTAGTCAGGTCCACCCCCGACCATAATCGACGCCCGGATCGTAGTCGACGATCTCCCAACCTCTCGATTCGTATAACGGCCCGAGTGAGGAGGGTGCCATCGCGCGCCATGTTTGCCGAAGCAGACGCTGCGGCGGAGGATGTCCCCGCCACAGTCGCCTCCTCACCAGATGCATTGAAGAACCCCGGGGCCTGGTGATCCACCCCGGGGTTCTCCCAGTCGTAGGATAATGACGCGGGGGAGCTTGGTCGACTACTCCTTACCGCGCTGGTACTGGAGGATCCGAAGCCCCCTGCACCGTAAATTTGGGTTCCCTTAGTGTCAATTGTTCATAATAAGGTGCCCCATTGCGGGTGGGCACCGTACCCTAGACTCCTTCTCGCTTACCGTGTGGTCCACAAGTGATCCGTTCTGTCGCCAGCTCATCGCGTTCGCTCCCCGCATCCAGCAAATCGGTTCTCGCGAGCGAGCGCCGACTACTGAAGCGGAGACCCAGGAGCCCCACGAGGAGGTACGGTGAGTGGTCTTGACCGGACGCAGCCCGCCAACTTCGCCGAAATTCCCCGCCCAAGAGGACGCCAAAGCGCCTCCCTGGTATAAGGGAATATCAGCTAAGTTGTGGTTTTTGACCCGACCTGGAGGTTGGAAATGCCGGCGCTGAAAAGGCAGGGCATTCCTCCAGCGTATGCTGCGTCGAGTCCTCCTCCTCGTGGCAGTGGTGCCAGACTTCCGTCGCTTCCCGTCCTATGCGACACAGGTAGACGCCGAAGCAACCATACCCGGTGAAGACCTGCGTCGTTCGGTAGGTGAGCCTACCAATGCCCATCTCCCGCCATCTTTTGAAGTACGGCAGGAGAGCCTTGGGGACGCGGTCGCTGGTGTGGGAGCTGAGCTCCAAACGGCAATTTGCGAGTGCGAGCCGCCAGACCTCGCGTTTGAACACCTCGACCGCCTCTGGCTCTTTTCGCGCATAGACTGACGCGCGTGCAGCCTGAAGTTCAAAGGAAATTTCCCCCGCCAGAGCATGCGCCGCCATATAGGATATGGTGCGGTATCCGTGGATGACCCTGATGGCCATCCACCTCTCAAGCCGGCGCAGTAATCCCTAGGCCCACCAATGTTGGGCAGGAAGCGGCCAAGCATGGCCGCCATCCTTTCCACCCGGGGGGCCAGGCGGTCGAACTGTGCCTCGAAACGCCAGTGGCTGTCGAGGACGAGTTCCAGATATTTCATTCGGTTCCCGACCTCCACGCAGGCTCCACCTACTCGGACCCACGACATTGGGAGTGGCCGACACCAAGGGCCACTGAGAAACCAGATGGCCTTGGTCTTCTCGGGGGCCACTTGCAGCCCAAGCCCGCGGGTCCTAGCGACGACAGCCGCCACTCCCACCTCTGCTAGGCGGACAGTCCTCTCGAACGTGCTCCTGACGGCGACCACTAACGTATCGTCTGCGAAGCAGACGAGACTGGCGCCGTCGGGGAGCAGTGCCCGCAGAACCGTGTCATAACCGAGGTCCTTCAACAACGGGCCCAAAACTGAGCTCTGTGGGACCCCACGGTTCACCTCCCTCCGCTCAACTTCGTACCGGCCTGGATACTCTATCCACCTGTCACGCAGATAGGCCCTGACCACCAAGACATCTAGGCTAATTTTTAAACAGCCTCAGTTTGTGGATGATACGCTATTTAGCGTCTTCATGTCACCGCTAAAGTGCGGAGCAGTCACTTTACATGAATTGTCATTAGGATCTGAACGTCCGCACTGTTGAACACAGCATTTTAGCTGCGCATAGTTGGAGACCACCGAATTTTACATTGTGTTACATAGTGACGCCTTTGCACTTTATTGGAAAGGACTTTCATGTACTGGCAGCTCGTTTTGATTTCACACCTTTTTCTACTTTCTTGTAGTTTCTAATGGGGATCTTTTATTTTTCTATAACTCCTTGAGTTCTCCACATTTTCATGTACTTGGCGTAATTTTTTCTACTTTTATGAAGGTTTTTATGGGCATCAGCTCTACCTAGAGTCACAAATAAGTGACGTCAATCAAATCCGTGACCATTGTTTGTGAAAACCGGCATTGACGCCATAGTTAACCGTTACAGTGAACACGAAAACGATTTGGAACTCGAGGGCGATAATGGAAAAGAAATCCACGACCGAGCAATATCTCCATCGTTAGGAATTCTAGATGACCGGCTTCGACGCTGTAGTCATAAATCAAAACGATAAATATTTGAAAATAAAGAAATTCCGCCTTTCAAGCCGCTGGAATTAATTAAATTGGATTTCACTTCGCGAATGCGTAGAATAATTTAGGAAAATAATTACAATTAGCTATTTATTAATTTTTGTCACTATTTATTATTAAGACCCGCGCACGGTCTTTTATTATAGCAAATACAAGTCATTTACAAAACTCGCAATACCTTAACTGGATAATAAAACTAGTAGGACTTCTATTTAATAGATAAACTGCCGTACGAACTGCTTCTCCCCACATTGTTCTACTTATTTTTGAGTCAAGTAACAGAGCTCTTACCTTTTTCCAAAATAGTACGATTTAGCCGTTCTTCTTTACCATAGAGTTGTGGAGAATGGTACTGTAAAGTTATGGTACTGTAAAGTCTAAAATAGTTCCATTATTTTTGCACCAACCCTGTAGATCTTTGTTGGCATATTCTTTGCCATTGTCACATCTTAGTTTAACTACTTTCCTCTCCCATTTTGCTTGACATTGTTTTACATAAGATTTTATTATTTCTGACACTTCAAATTTACCTTTTATTGGAAAAACGGCAGCAAAGTACGTGAAATCATCGAGGAATGTTATAAAGTATCTCACCCCGTCCCAAGTAGCGGGTTCTATCGGACCCCATACATCCGTATGAAGAATGAAGAATTTCCGTAGAAAGGTTTCAATGCTTTAGTTCTCTCTCCATTAAACGGATTGCGAGATTGTTTAGCCTTTATGCATATATCACAAAATTCTGAATTAGTATTGAATTTAGATGACAAACTCATATCTTTACTTATATTCATCAATCTTTCCATATTGGAGAAGCTCAGATGTCCTAACTTCCGATGCCAGTGTAATATGTCTTTGTTTGTTGTCAAGAGACTTTCTGTGGTGTGCGTTCCTGCCATGTTTACGACGTACAATCCGTTCTGACCTCTTGATCCTTCTAAGATTGTTGTCTCTCCTTTTCGAATTTTGACCTTGTTTTTAGTAAATGTAACTTCGCAATCATTTTGCGTTATAGAATTTACTGATAGCAATTTCTTTGTTAGCTCTGGAATTAGTATTACGTTTTTACGATTACAACTTCACCCATACCTTTACCTTCCATTTTTACTGATTTTTTTGCTGTGGAAATTTCGGTATTGATCATTTTTTCGTTTGTTAATAGATTAATATCGTTAATGATATGATTTGATGCTCCTGAATCGACTATCCAGTTATCCTCTTTTGTATTATTATTATTATTATTAACAAAGAAGCATACCTTTTCATCATTGTGTCTACCTGTTGAAACAGTTTTATTTTTCTTAAAATAGCAATCTCTCTCAGCATGGTTTGTCTTCTTACAGATATTGCACATGTAATTGTTTTTAGAGTAATCCCCTGTATTTGTTGTGTGTCGGCCTCTGTTGCTGTCCTTCTGATAATTGCGTCCTGCTGATTCTTTCTTACAATTGAGACCGATTTACTTTTCTCGACAATCAGTAAGGTCTAATTTAATTAATAATCTGAATATGTTATTTTGTCGAGAGAAGAAATTCACTCGGCGCGGCCTGGGTCAAGGGCTGCCGGGGCTCTAAAGAATAAAAATTGAATTTATGCAAGACAAAGGTTTAGGGCGCCAGCCGATTTTACGGCAAATCGGCAAACGGATAAGTTGACTCACTCAGGGTGGGTGAGTTGGACGACCCGTGAGAGGTAAGAAAGAGAAGAAACTATAATAGAGAATGAAATAGAATAAAGAAAGTTTATTATTCAGGTAGAATGAGATTTTCCAACTTACAGTACTTGTCGATGGATTACGGCTATCTATAACGGCTCGTACAGCACGTATAATCTTCGCTAATCGACTACTTGTCGAAACACTTCTTAAAATAAAACTAAATTAATATAATACAAAATACAACGGTAAAATATAAGAATGTAAGGTAACGCTCGCTCAGCTCGGTACGACTTTTCTGTATCGAATCTCGGAACAGACTCCGATTCGGGATCCCGAAACAGAGTGCTGGGAATCGAACGCGATCGCACGTGCTCGCCGCTGGCACTCCTTGCGGGTATTTTGGCAATTAATTACTATGCCTACCGCAGCGATCTTGTCGATAATTGAGTGACCGCGCTTTTCGAATGTTAAGGAGTTTTATTTTTCTGTCACACAATACTTTGCTATGTGATTAAGACCGTTACATTTATAACATTTTCTTACTGAGGATTTGAAGGCTACATTTTCTTGTACAGTTTCCTCCAATTTTAACCTATTTTCTTCAAGCTGTAATCTGGCTATAAGATTAGTTAACGTTTTTTCTTCTAACGTCGTAGAATCCCAAGCGCTAGCGAAATGTTTGCATTGAGTAGGTAGTGTGGATAATATCTTTGTAATCAGCAATGTGTCGTCTATAGTTTAATCTAATGAATTTAGTCTATGAGACAGATTTTCAAGGGTACTCAAATGTGTTGCTATGTCGCTCTCTTTTGCAAAGGAATAGTTGAAAAATTCTTGTAACAGTGCGCACTTCTTTTGTTCCGTATCATTCCCATATATCGATATTAATTTGTCCATCATTTCATTTGAGGTTTTACAGTTTAGAAGAAGCATTTGCATTTTTCTATCGACAGACAGCACTATTGCCTTTTGTACTTTTGCATCGCGGAGTTCCCATTCTTTCTTCTTATTTTCAGACCAATCTGCTTGAGGCACACTTGTTCCGATGAGAATATCATGCGCATTGATGGATTTTACTAAGATTGTTATTTGAAACTTCCAAAGTTGAAAGTTGGTTTCATCTTTTAATTTTTCAATTTGATCGATTTCACTTTTATGATCATTACACGTCGTCATTTTTACTTGGTTTTTACAAGCACGTTTTCACAGATAACCTCAGACGTCACGTGCCGATTTTACGAAATTTCACGAATATTAATCTCTACTTTACTTCACTGATTTTATTTTTATTTTTTTAAATAACTGGGCCCATAACCTGTTGTTATGGGGTGAGCAGAGTATATAGACAACAATCTTGTTGTAATAAGTAAATTAGTTTATTATAGAAGTGAGCGTGTGGACTCGCTAATTTTTTTATAATAAAGAATTTGTTTATCACATTATTTTAAAAGTAATTACCGTTTATATAATAACTAAGAAGAACACACATTTTGTCTGAATTTATTGATGTATGGTATACTATGTTTGCCTCTTACATTTTTACGCATTAATCTTATACGTACACCCTCGTTCATAAATATGTAGGCACGTACAACTTTCAATGAATAATTAATATACATCATAAATTATTACTATACAACTTTTGTGGTTAAATTCTATATTGGATGTATTTAACAACATATACTTATACTCAATGTTTCGACTGCCATATTTAATTTTATAGTGGAACTATGAGATCGTTTAGATAGAAAAGATTAGAAACAATGTTCAATATATCAAACGTATTTATGACGAAATATTACAGAATAAACCAGATAATATTACTTCGCATACAATGAAGAAATTAATACTATCGAAGTTTGGTAAGAAAAATGTTAACATTATCTAGTTATCTCTAAAGCTTTTTATCATTACTAATGTAATATTAAAAAAAACTATTAATAAAATATATTGGCTAATACAACATAGACATATCGAAAGATAAATAATATAATTGATATTAAAAGATATGCAACTGTTATTAGATAGTGTCCACATACTTCTGAGCGGGGGTTTATTGTATACATCGCGCAAATACGCTGGGTCGCCATCATACCAGATATAGACGTACGGTCATTATCTTTGTT